TAAATCGCTGCCTTCATTCGGAAAAGGGAAATCCTGTGCTGTGGTTTCCAGTGCAGGAAGCATGAAAAATGCTCTGCTTGGAAGTGTCATTGGTGAGGATTCGTGACTCCAGCATTCAACAATAAAAAAAATTTGCAATCAATGGAAGAATCGAAATAATGAAGCTATATCAGATATAACCAACTTCTCGAAGTTGAATTTAAGGACCTTCATAAACATTTGACAAAGAGATCTTAAACTACATAAACTGTAAATTCATTTGGGTATTAGTTAATCAATTGATATTATATTCTGGCGAAATTATTGGAATTGTTAACCATTCATTTATGTCCTATTTGCAGGAAGATGTCCCATTACAGGGGCAAAGTACGCAGAAATAATGTGCTGCTGTTTTTGCTTGTTTTCTGGAACAGTTAATTTGAATTTAGCCTCAATTCAAAAACAAGAAGGCTTTTTAAATTTTATTGAGGGAAGTTTGGCCCAAAACGATTTTAAAATTTTGAAGGTTTAAATTGCATTCGACTTAATTACATTACTGCATGCTGTACTTCACGTAACATATTCTTTCAATAACTATGATGGAATCTTGGGTGAATGTGTATCCCTGCATAAGGTGAACCCCCAATTTTTGATGATCAATAAATTCAATAAAAAATCTAAAAATGCTACGAATTTAAATTTCGGATAATGAACAAATTGGAAATCTGAAACAAAACCGTGAAGAAAAGAAGTCAGATTTTCGATAAATCTTCAAAATCGTTATGCGTGTATAGCTTCTTGATTGCTTTACTTAATCGTGTAATGATTCAAAAACTATCTTATGCATACTACAATTTCAATGCAGTATTTCAAAAAATGGATAACCGAGTGAAACGAGTTCTGCATAATTTCGTGTAGATTTTCAGAAGAAAGTGCGCCTGGTACTATATTCAAGAAAATACAGTATTCAGACATTAACTGGATATTCGAAACAGTAAGGTTTTAATTTTGAGGAAGTTCAACTTCTTGAGGTCCAACTGTGATTCAGAAAATTTTCAGAGTATACGAACTGAAACGCTCAAGTCAATCTCCATTTAGCTTTTGTCCTTTTTTCAATTCTCTCGTGCGGAAAGTGCAAAAACAAATCAATCTAGAAAATGACATTTATAAAATTTTGCGCAGATAAGTTCAGCGTCGTAGCACGAATGAATAATGCTCCGGTGGTGTCCCATGTAGCAGACATAGGATCGAAAACAACAGTTCGAATAATCAATGACCAGGTACTAGAATCCTTGACCAAACTTGGCAGTGATCACATCACTGCCGAAGAACGTGAGATGCAAAAACGTCCCATCATCAACATAGGGTGGGATTTTTGCGGCGAACGTTACCTGAACATGCCTCTAACAAAAGTGAGTTTTCACAAAGTTTTTTTAGTCGTCTGATTTGCCAAAACTCAAGCGATGACAGTAACAAAACTTGATCGTATTCCATCTATAAATTCCGAATAAAATTTTCATCTATTTCAACAGAGACATTTTTTTTAAATAATGCCAAAGAAGTTTGGTAAAATTTTTCCCCGACGAAAGCTTGAAAATCTGTCATTTGTAGTGTCATGGGAGATGGAAGAGTGAGAAGGTTGGAAAACTGAGAAAACATGGGTACAATGGACTTGCAAATTACATGCGCTGGACTAAATACAAAAAAAGCAAAAACGTTCATGTATATGTTCTGGATTACGAGTATATCAAAGCATTGAAAGTTTATATCGCCCGGGAATCCCCATTTGAAGGTTTTGAAAGCATTGGTCCTTCCACGGGTTTTATAGGTGAGCATAATCCGATTCCATTTAAGTATAATGCCTTAATTACTTACTTTCCATGAGATAGGTTGCATGCATAAAACCTCTATCGCGTATACGCTATTACGAATGATTTTTGTTCACCAGTTTAAATATTCTGTTGGAGACTGTAAGCAGTGCGTGGAAAGTTTTAAAATTTCTGGCAGGAGCATATCCGCACAAAACCTCAGAAAGTAAACTAAGCGTTTGTTTTAATTTGGATTTTTCTCAGAAAATGCGTTCAATCTATTTATTCAGACAAAGGTTCAGATCTTCACCTTCACATCATTGACGAGAGTTTCAATGATCATGAGCATTCCATCAGTAATGTTATTCCATCAACTCCTTCTGAACGCTTCCAATTACTTTACAGTAAATGTTTTCCTATTCCGGCAATGAATAAAACACCATGTGATTATGCTTTAGCAAACAAAGAAGCTCTTTTTTCTTTGATTACTGACAACTAATTTTCGCAAGAGATACAGTGGGTTGCTGACCTGCAAAAAATGCTATGTTTCAAACTTATGAACCTTAAAGCAAAAAATGAATGAAGAGTACTCGGAGAGAATCTCGATTTTTAGAATTTTCCATTGCTGCAATTTATATTTCATACCTTTTTTGTATTGGTTCTCTTATTACTGCTAAGAAATGCCTTTCGTTAGTGTATAAATTATCCTCGGTTTACCATCAATTGTTGCACAGGAATGACATAATGGACTGTATAGATTCAAATCAGAGCAGTGATTGATGCATGCGAGAGATAAAGTTCACAATGCGGTTAGACAGAATCCCCTTATTGATAGTAACACCAATTTCAAGGTAAATGCCGAAAAGTCATCATCCACTCTAAGAACAAGACAGTGCATTTTTCCCCGTTTTCCATATACGGTCTAGGAAAAACTAGTAAAATGCGAATGTATTCCAAGGCCAGACACCAGCAATGAATGAGAAAATCTTTGAGGCATAATACAGTACTTACATTTCATTACAGTTTTCTTTTGTTCCTGCAATTTTTAAACTTGAAGACTTTTCAATGGAGCCGCTTGATGAAGAAAATGTTTCAAGTTGCACCACTGCCTTCAAGATTTTTTTTTATGTAAAAATGTCACCAATTTTTTTCGTAGCATAAATTAGAATGCAGAAAGCGTAAGAATACATTTTTTACCCCCATACGCTCTGCCAACGTTGCCAGCAAAGCAATTACAAATATTCATTTCCCTCTTCCAGAATACCAGAACATATTTACATGGTTTTAAACCCTTTGTAGTGTCCCTGTGTAAGGCTTTCCGTTTCTTTGTGTGAATGAACAGAAACCTTTATTTTCCCTTTTTCAGTACAGTATTCATAAGGTTCAATCAACATTCCCACATCCAAACCCCCTCCCCACCCAACCCAAATCCATTCAAACGCACTCAATCACTTCAGAATGGGAAACAGAGAAAAAAAAACTGCATACGGATATAAAAAAAAAATCCAAAGTGTACAACTGCATAACTGATGTCCATGTGTACACCACCTCCTTTCCCTCACAATGCAAAAAAAATATCAGTAACAAGAATTGCAGCATAAGCCTGAATTATAGCAATTGCAGCAGTTACTGAACCCAGTTTAAAGCACATGAGGTCTTCAGCCTGTCCCCAGACAAGGTTTAGTTGAATGAATGTAAGGTTTATGTTTTAAAATGTATATAATAGTATTTTTTTAATATTTCAGCTACGGCAGTTTTGTTGAGCCAGTGTGCCACAGTTCATCTTTTTCACATGATCCCTCCACTGAAGAAAAGCGGTCCGTGTAAGTACGACTCAGAAGGAAAACCCAGGCGCACGTTGGAATGTTCATTGTTTCCGGGACACAACCGAGAAGGAGAACTTGCTTTCCTCATGACGCAGAACATGGCTTCCTTGCAAAAAACTTACATCACGGGCCACGCTGTTTTACCAGGGCTTTCAACTTTGAAATGCCGCCGTTCTTCACGCAGGCCTAATACGGGCTAGAATAATGACTGTATATCGGTCAAATACGGCGCTATTCTCCCTTTAAAAAAAAAGAAAGAAAATGGAGTGCTTTCAACATACCAGGTTGGACATAAATAAGCTATATGCTGTATAGTATAGTTTGGAAATGAAAGAAATGCCGTTGACAAAATCGGAACACTAAACATTCAAGCTTTTCTTGAAAGTCTAATCCAAAAAAAAAATGTTTTTTTCATCTCATCCCCAGACCAGTTTTATTTTTATTTTTATCTCGGTGTTTTAATTCAAAAAGTCTCGCCACACGCTGATGGATTCAACATGGACAGCAGATCACTGTATTCTTTAAAGGTGATTTTAATTAATTTATGCATTCAAAAATATGGCATAAACCAGTTTTCTTACAGGATAAGCAAACCGATCGCTTAGTGAACATCATGATTACTGCGTCAAGATTCTAGAAATACCCAATTTCTCAAACTTGGATCAACCTTTTTGGAATGCAATGGGAAACATTGTACTCTCCTAGCTTGAAAATGAAGTCGCAAACTTTTAAATGCACAAGACTCACAAGATTTTCCGTTGAATAACCCAAACTTGAAATGATGACCTGCGCCATTTTGTAGCTCTAGCGACTGAGAAATTATTTTGACTAAGACGTAAACTCTAAGGGTATGATTTTTTTCCACATTCAAAGGATAAAAGGCAATAGAACAAACTTTGAGAAATTTAAATTTAGACGCTATCCTTTATTTTTACTGCATTGCACTCTATTTTGAATATCTTCCGAACTAAGCTATCAAGAAAAATTAAAAAAAAAAATGTTGGCCAATTTTTTAAACTGTGGGAATTACATTTATCCTTTTAGCAAGTGTTGATAAATCGAGACGTTCTCTCTTGGGATAGACTCAATAACACATGGAAATTACTGAATGGAACCGAAGGCAAAAAACCCACAGAATCTGTACTAATCAATATACGTGGTTTTTGATACATTTAAAATGACTAAGGAGATCTGAAAATGTCACAGTGATGATTTTCAATCAGCCAAATGGGTGATCCAACTCATGATCATACCAAATCGCTGATATAAGAAACATATACTCGTATTCTTACATTAGGCATCCAATCGCTCAATCTTCACTCAATTGTCTGTGCCATCTTCAATTTTTTTCGAAATTAGCCGTTCACTTTGGCCAAAGAAAGATTTGCGTCAGTATTGAAAAGTCATTTCACGGTGTATTTTTCTTTTTAAAAAAATGAAAATTATACTTTGCTTGATGGTGATTTGTGTTATTGCAAAGCAAGTAAATGCTGGTGAAAGTAAAACTGAGGTAGAATGCGTAGCGAACCAATTAAATACTACTGATTGCATCAAAGTGGGGGACTTGATTCCGGACGATGATGACGGCAAGTTCAGTTCTTTCTTTAAGTGAATTATTATAATGCTGATTTATTACTGCAGAAAAAACGAGTTTTTTGGACAAACCCAACGGAGGAAATCAAATTCACAGAACACTCTTGGCGAGCTCATACAAGAAAAAGAGGAAAATAAGAGTACGAACGGCAGGAAACGTTCGAGGTCGAAATCGGCTCTTCAACAACAAAATCGAAGGTCATTTTCGAAACTTTTCCAAACCACTAATGTTACACTNGAAAAAAATACTGTCATCAATTTAGGATGGGATTTTTGCGGCGAAAGCTACCACAGGATGTCTCTTACCAAGGTTAGTGTTTGAAGCGTTCAAGGTCGCAAAATTTGGCAACAAAAATTACATATATTGTCTGTTAATCAAGCTATGGAAAGATGAAGTTTTGGATTTATTTGAGTGCACCATGAAGCACTGAACCTTGAATAACATTTATTATTTTTTAAGTGCCATGGTGGCTGGAAGAATGAGTGGGTTTACAAATTTAAAAAACATGGGTACAACGGACTCTCGAATTACATGCGATGGAATAAGTACGGGAAGAACAAAAATATTCGTGTGTACGTATTGGACTATTCGTACATCAAGGAGTTGAAAAACTTTGTGACAAATGAGTCCCCATTTATTGACCTCGACAGCATCGCTCCTTCCACCGGCTTCCTTGGTAAGTCGTTGTTAATGTATCGAATCGTTCAAAGTTTCAGTACAGTAATGAGCATCAGTTTTCTGGTAC